CATGGTAGAAACCTAAAACAGGAAAAGAGCCTTAAATTAATTGACTACAACACTACAACACATCAATATATTCTTTTTCCCTTTCCCTTTTTTTTTTTTTTTTTTTTTTCTTTTTTTTTTTTTAACTTTCAGACAGTGTCTCGCTCTGTCACCCAGGCTGAAGTGCAGTGACCTCCTGAAGCACACATCACCACGCCCAGCAAATTTCGAAGTAGTTTTTAAGAGATAGTGTCTTTTTTTTGAGATGGAGTCTCCCTATGTTTGCCCAGGCTGGTCTCAAACTCCTGGGCTCAAGAGATCGTCCCACCTTGACCTCTCGAAGTGCTGAGATTATAGACGTCAGCCACTATGCCTAGCTAAGAGATGGTGTGTCTTGCTATGTTGCCTAGGCTGGTTTCAAACTCCTGGCTTCAGGCAAACCTCCCACCTAAGCCTCCTGAGTTGCTGGAATTACAGACTGGAGCTACTGTGCCTTGCTCTCCATGTCAATATAGTCTATCTCTAAATTATCAGTTTGACAGCTTGAAAATTAATTTTTTTTTTTTGAGACAGGATCTGATCTCTCTCATTGTTGCCCAGGCTGGAGGGGCAGTGAGCTGTGATCTCACAACCTGGACCTCCTGGGCTCAAGTGATCCTCCCACTTCAGCCTCCCCAAGTGTTGGGATTACAGGCATGAGCCACCACACCTGGCTAAAATTAATTTTGAGGACAAAACCATAAAACACTGATTATTAGAATAATAAGGCAGTGGTCAAAATGATCAACCTGATTCAATATTAACAGACAAATTCATATTATACTAAAATGCCTTAGGAATGAATGTAAAAGGATTTCAAATACAAAAGAAAATGAGATTGATAACCTTTTCCCATGTCCTAGAAATATAGTCCCTGGAAAACCATATTTATAGCATATCTAAGGGACAATTCACTACCTTTGTTGTACACAGCTAGCTTTCTACCAGATGCGCTGAAGAAAATTCCTCTCTATACTCAAGAGGTTTACAACATGGATTTGGTCATATACCCTGTGACGTGTTCAATTTTTCATCATGCTGTGAAGCTGCCTATATACAAGAGGCCCCACAACTGCTGAGATAGGAAAGACAACTTCTAGATAAGACTGATTCTCAAAAGGCTGAGGTTTCTAAAAAGCCAATACAGGCACCCCCTTAAGTCCAGATTAGATGAAAAGCCTCAGATATACCATAAAGATGTCCTGCTTTCCCAGGTTCTCTTAAGTATCAATAAAGAAGTGATCTCTTTAAAGCCCTGAACGAACACAGGGCTAAGTCTCTTGGGTATACTCTGTCATATCGTAGGGACTTTTAACGTGTATCATTCTTCAGTAAACAGTATGGGTCATTTCATTAACATCTGAAAATCTGATAATTTTTAGCTAATTGTTCAGTCTGGCATGTAGCAAACTGTCATCTTACTTTGTTTGTTTATTTATTTATTTTTTGGAAATGGAGTCTCCCTCTGTCACCCAGCTGGAATGCAGTGGCACGATCTTGGCTCACTGCAACCTCCACCTCCTGGGTTCAAGCGATTCTCTTGCCTCAGCCTCCCAAGTAGCTGGGACTACAGGTACGTACCACCATGTGGGCCCAGCCAATTTTTTCTGTATTTTTAGTAGAGACGAGGTTTCACCATGTTGGCCAGGCTGGTCTGGAACTCCTGATCTCAGGTAATCCGCCCACGTCGGCCTCCCGAAGTGCTGGGATTACAGGCGTGAACCACCGCACCCGGCCCATCTTACTTTAAAAGCTAAACTAGCTGCCAGATTAAAGCCAAGGCCAGCACATCTCATGAAGGTTACAACCTACCCCACTGTCCAGTGCATAGGTATTGACGAGGTAGGCCAGTGAGTTACACAGCCACAAAGAAAGGATGTCACCTAGAAGGCGAGGAACAAGACCCCTACATGAAGAAACAATAAAAATAAGAACCAAAAAATGTGATCAGTAAAAAGACAGGCTCTTCAGTACAAATGCTTCTCAAATAATTAGAGGTCACAAAACATTCTAGGGAAGTGAAAAAGACATCAAACACCAGAATCCAGCCCGCATACCTAGTTCATTCTCGTTAACAAGCTGTACTTGAAGCTGATCTCCAGTGACTTTTGTTCCTACGTTTAAAATGCAGGTCGGCTATACCCTCAGTGGCTCACCTTACTATTCATAACTGTAAGCAGGGAGGCAAAACATTTGCAAGGTGCTTTGCAGAAGAGATTTAAATATTGTTTTGCTTTGACTAGCTTAAAAAAATGATTTTGCTAAGCTATCTGATATTCAAATTTGGCCGACAAAAGATGAGAAAAATTACAAAGCAAGAATGGTTCCAAGTACAGATACAGATGACAGGCATCAAAAACCACCTTTCTAGGGTCTAGGTGACCTAGGTGAGGCAGCATGGAATAGTGGGAAGAGCATTTCCGCATGGATTGAAGACCAGCTTCAAATGCCAGCTCCAGCACTCATCAGCGATGTCACAGGCAGCAGATGAAACTCTCAGAGCATCAATGTTTTTTAATCTCTAAAGTGATACTAACTATAGCTGTCCTGCCTATCTCACAGGGTATTTATGATATTCAAAATCCATATGTGGAGATACTCTGAAAATTAAAAAAAAAAAAACCACCATTTAGGTAATGATGCAAAATTTTTCTTCATAGAAGAATGAGGGTAGTAGTCTAAGTTCTTCCAAAGTAAATTCAAGTCTTGCAAAAACTTATCTTTCAGTAAGTTAAGGAAAATACAAGTTAAGATGATTTCCCCATTTTTCAACATTTAATTTTTCTCATTTTATTATCTATATAGAATTGGGAGTTTACTATAAGGGTAGAAACTTGGAATTAAGTCCTTTGTTAAAAAAAGAAATTCCTTATTTAATTTTATTTTTTATTTTATTTTTATTTTTTATTTTATTTTATTTTTATATTTTATTTTTATTTTTTGAGATGGAGTCTCACTCTGTTTCCCGGGCTGGAGTACAGTGGCACAATCTCAGCTCACTGCAACTTCTACCTCCTGGGTTCAAGCAATTATCCTGCCTCAGCCTCAGTAGCTGGGATTATAGGCGCACACCACCACACCCAGAGACGGGGTTTTACCATGTTGGCCAGGCTGGTCTTGAACTCCTGACCTCAGGTGATCCAACCGCCCTCGACTCTTAAAGTGCTCGGATTACAGGCGTGAGCCACTATGCCTGGCCTCAAATGTTTTAAGTATCTAGAAGCAAAGGTTTGGGATCTTTACAAGAGAATTCTAGTCATATGGGGCCTAAATATGCCTTTCTGCAGAGAAAAAAAGAAAAAAAATAAGGGGCCTAACTAGAATGTGAGGTAAGCCCAGGGAGTACATTTTCCCCAAGCATTAAACAAAGATTCACTGCCCTTATTTTCTTTCTTTCTTTTTTTTTTTGAGATGGAGTCTCGCTCTGTCCCCCAGGCTGGAGTGCAGTGGCGTGATCTCGGCTCACTGCAAGCTCCGCTTCGTGGGTTGACGCCATTCTCCGCCTCAGCCTCCAGAGTAGCTGGGACTACAGGCGCACGCTGCCACGCCTGGCTAATTTCTTTTGTATTTTAGTAGAGATGGGGTTTCACTGTGTTGCCCAGGCTGGTCTCAAACTCCTGACCTCAAGTGATCTGCCCGCCTTGGCCTCCCAAAGTGCTGGGATTACAGCCATGAGCCACTGTACCTGGCCTGTAGTTTTTTGTTAAGAGATATGTCTGGCTGTGTTGCCCAGGCTGGCCTCAAACTCCAGGACTCATGTGATCCTCCTGGCTCAGCCTCCTGAGTAACTGGAACTATAGGCGTGAGCCATCATACCTAGCTGTTATTTTATTTTTCTGTTTTTGGATACAGGGTCTCACTCTGTCACCCAGGCTGAAGTGCAGTGGCACAATCTTGGCTCACTGCAGCCTTGACCTCCTGATCTCAGGTGATCCTCCCACCTCAGCCTCCCGGGTAGCTGGGACTACAGGTGCTATGCCTGGCTAAGTTTTTGTATTTTCTGTAGCGATGAGGTCTCATCATGTTGCCTCAGCTGGTCTCCAACTCCTAGGCTCAAGCAATTTGCCCACCTACGCCTCTCGAAGTGCTAGAATTACAAGCGTGAGCCACTGCACCCAGCCCATTATTTTATTTTCCAATAAAGCTTTGCCTAGATAATAAAGAATGTTTTTGTTGCAGATTATACACCTCATAGTAATAACAAACCCTAAATTGGTATCTAGGCAAAAACCATCCACTAACAAGACTCTAGTAGGAGACCAGCTCTGCCAATACCACTGTGACAAATAATTGTTATGAAAAGTGAGTTTGGGGGAAAAAAGTCTAAAATCAAGGCCATCATTTTACCATGATAATAATCTACTTGGATCGTATTTATAAGTTGCATGTGGGCACTCAAATGGCTTCTAGGTCTCATCTAGGGATTCTTTCTTCTTCATTACTCCTGCTCATGATTTCTAAATATCACATTTTACTATTATGCTAAAGTGAAACATAGAACATTGTGAAGTGTACATTAACTGGCAGACTAGACTAACTCACTCACTCTAGCTAGAATGAGCTACAAGAGTTAACTTGGGATTGCAGAGACAGTATTTAAGAAAACAAACAAATAAAAATAAAACAAAATAAAATGAGAAAGACAGAGAAAAAGAAATACCTCTTTTTGTAGCATGCACCAACAATCTATCCAAGACGTATATATTGGGGAGTAAGGAGGGCATCCACCAGCAAGACTAAAATAGAAAAAAACATGGAGCTCTTCATGTTAATATTAACCAAACATTCGAGACATTGATAAAGCTTGTCAAAATATTCTCCTGCATAGAAGATTCCCTGAGAGATCATTTTAGTTCAATGAAACAAATCATATTGGAGCAGGGGAAAGATCAAGCATCCAGAAGAGAATTCCTCCCCTATGTTTAGGTTTCAAATCAAATGAAACTCCAGAACATAGCATTTACATGATTAAAGATCAGGGAAAGGTGGCCAGGCATGGTGGCCCACAGCTGTAATTCCAGCACTTTGGTAGGCTGAGGCAGGTGGATCATTTGAGGTCAGGAGTTCAAGACCAGCCTGGCCAACATGGTGAAACCCGTCTCTACTAAAAATACAAAAACATGAGCCGGCATGGTGGCGCACGCCTGTAATCTCGGCTACTTGGGAGGCTAAGGCATGTGAATTGCTTGAACCCAGGAGGCGGAAGTTGCAGTGAGCCAAGATCGTGCTACTGCACTCCAGCCTGGGTGACAGAGTAAGAACCAGTCTCAGATTAAAAAAAAAAAAAAAGGGAAAGGGGATTTAAAAACTAACTGGTGTTCACAAAGAAATTAAACATGAAAACCGATATGAACAGTGGATATATATATGTTCCTACTCAGGTATAATCGCTTCATCTTGAAAAAACTGTAAATAATAACAATACATTTAATTCATCCTTCAAGTTTGCACTGTGCTAAAACATGGCAGTTCCTCTACATATCAGAAAACATCACAGCTTGCCAGGAGTAACAGGAAACAAACAAAACCAGAAAACAAACAATGTAAAATGTTCAAAACTCCACATAGCTATCTGATCTTATTTGAAAACAGTAACATGTTTAATGATATGTCAGGTACCACATGGGAAAAGAATTCTGAATTAAATAAAAAAGGCAAGGCCAGGTGCGGTGGCTCACGCCTATAATCCCAGCAATTTAGGACGCCGAGGTGGGCGGACCACCTGAGGTCAGGAGTTCGAGACCAGCATGGTCAACAGAGTGAAACCCCATCTCTACCAGAAATACAAAAATTAGCTGGGGGTGGTGGCAAGTGCATTATATAATCCCAGCTACTCAGGAGGCTGAGGCAGGAGAATTGCTTGAACCCGGGAGGTGGAGAATGCAGTGAGCCGAGATCACGCCACCACACTCCAGCCTGAGCAACAGAGCAAGACTCTACCTCAACAATAACAACAACAACAAAATACAAAAAATTATCCAGGCATGCTAGTGGACATCTGTAATCCCAGCTACTCAGGAGGCTGAGGCAGGAGAATCGCTTGAACCTGGGAGGTGGAGGTTGCAGTGAGTCGAGATTGTACCACTGCACTCCA